ATTTTACGGTGATTACCAATTGTGTTGAGGAACTCTGGACTCCCCCCCCCCCTCTGCAGAGACTAGACAAAGAGGTGTTAAAATATTAAGTACAGGATAACATACAAGAAATATGCTGGAGCAAGATAATAAGACGGACAAGAAACAACAATGCATGAAACATCTAAAAGAATTTGAGAAAGATGGGAAAGCAAGAGGATGCTGCGGTCCTGCATCATGGGACCAGCTAGGAGAAAGATAATACCGCTTTTTATCACAGTATTAGTATTCAAAAGATGTGAAATGTTGAAAAGATCCTCACAAGAAAAAGATGAGGAAAGCCGAAAACAGAGAGAATTATGCCAGAAACAGAAATTCCTAGATAGGAAACAGGAAAGTAGTGAATATACCAGAGAATATGATGCTGAAAAAAGGAAATTATGGGTGAAAAAATATACTCTAGAAAACAGATGCCTGGTATGAATTCAAAGATGAAATCATCAAGGGACTGTATTTTTCTTCTATTTTCTTGTCTAAAAAGATTTGTCCTCTGTAGATAGTATTTTGTGTTTTTGTAGTGTTTTAGCGTTGAAGACTGGCCATTATCTAAATATGATGATACGTTCTGTACGTCAGGTTGTTTATAAAGAAGTAGTTCAGTTGAGTTTTCCTTTAAAATCAAGTTTTGAAAAATACGGAAACGCCCCAAAAATTTTGCGGACACGCCTCAAGAGTATTGGGAAATCCCTCAAAAATATTGGGAAATTCCTCAAAAATAATTGTCAGGTGAAAAGCAGAAACCCCTCAAAAATTTTAGAAAACGCCTCAAAATAAAGAGGAAACCCCTCAAAAACTGGGTTTGTAGGGATTTCCGTTTTTCTTGCAGAAATTGTGGAAACGCCTCAAAAAATCGGTTTTTGAGGGGTTTCCGCTTTTTTTTGAGGCATTTCCGTGTTGAGGCGTTTCCATAGCACTACCATTTACCCCGAGCTCTTTGCAACCCCAGTGGGGCACTATTAGGAACGCCCTGTATTCTTTCAACTTTATTCAGGGATATCATTCTCTAAATTTGATTTTTCATCTTTTGATATTTAGTGTTTTAGTATGTAAGGAATAAATTACTGTGTTATATTATTGTAAATCATAACAGGGATAAGCCCTATATATCCAGTATATTTTGTTAATAAATAGTCTACTAAAACTCACTATAGGATTATTACCTTAATAGTAGAGAGAGAGTCTTATATAGTCCGTAAGGACTAAAGTTCTGAGATCAGTGAAGATTATGGTTTCCAGTCGTAGTTACGTTACACGTAATTACGCGGAACACTTTCTTTCACTTACGGAGGAGCATTACGCGAAATTACGTGCTAATTATGTATACGAAAGAAAGTCTAGTTTTGCGTAATTAAGGCGTAATTACGCGAAATTACGTAATACGACACCATTCCGTAATTTGTAAAGTACATATTAATTCTCAGAAATGAATATAGCGGGAAAATATGTGTAAGGAAATGAGCGATACAACCATGTTCAATCTGATTGGATAATTTAAATACTCTCAAATTGAATTTAAATTCGCTTATAGTGATGGATCAAACCTCTGTAGAGAAAAAAAGTAAATGTTAGTTCCACATTTTATGGAAAATATATTTCTTCTGTTCATTCCTGTGAGATCAGTTATAAAAAATGTATTTGAATTCTCGTACTTAAAGTAAACTTTTCACAAGGTCCCAAACCTTCTCTAGTTCGCTAACTTTTATATGGTAGTGTTCATGTCCAGGAAGGTTAACATGTTCTCCTATAGGCTGGTTTGTATGGAGGTTTCGCCAATTAGGCATAATCATTGCAATATTTCGTGAAATTACTTTTGCAGAAATTACGCGAAATTATGGCGAAATTTCGCGAAATCGAAGTTTAGCTAATTATGCGTAACTATTACAAAATTTCGCAGAAATAACATTTTAGAAATTACGCGAAATTACGCCGTAATTTCGCGAAATTGAAGTTTCGCCAATTACACGAAATACAATTTACGTAATTTCGAGTAAGTGAAAAATCTAGTGAAGATATTATAATCCTTAAATCTTTGAAACCTGATATCGCAGATATTTCATACACTGGACTCAAATAGCCAATGTTTGAAATTTCAAAGGTTTACAACATCAGATTACAAAGAAATAAAGATTAGAAAGTTATAGATTTCTGTGAGTATTCTGTTCCTTTAATCTGTTAATGATATATATAATTAAATAGTAAACGTTCGAACTTTCCAAGCTTTAACACATCAGGTTGCAAAGAAATAAGGATCAGAAAATTATAGTTTGGGGAAATTGGTCAGTAGATTACTCTCCTTTGTCTACTTTGAGCTTGAGACAGTTCTCTCTCTGAGTAAGTATACCTTTATAAAGAGATTCACTTACCTGATTTTGCTGTAAAGGGTCTAGAAGATTTAGGGATTGTTGCATTATTTACAGGTAAAGTATGAAAATAAATTCATGTAATTTTTGGATAGATGAAACCAGAATTTTAGAAACGATAAAAGTATTGCTATTTTTTAACACATAGAAAATCTAAGCTGTATTGGAAAAGTTAATTTGACACAACTTTTGCAAAGAGAAACAAATTTTCTAAGAATAAACCTGGGTTGCAAACTGTGGTGCAGTTTTACAAGTTTTTGCACACTACATTTTCACCCTTGACGCAATAATAAAGGCAATGAAAGAAAAACCAAAATATTTTAGAATTTAGAGTGACTGAAATTTTAGATTTTTAAAATACACAAATCACTGAAATACTGTACAGTTTAGTAATCATTGATGAATTTGAGATTTTAGTTATTATTGATAAATACAATATCTTAAGATATCATTAATAAATTCTATTACTTTGGTAATCAATGACTAATTTAAGATTTTAGTTATCATTGATAAAGTATAGTAATCTCTGTTTGGATGCCCGATCATAACTCATAAACCCCTCGACCGATTTCCTTCACATTTTAATTAAGGGAACTTAGTAGAAATACGGGAACTCAGTTCTTGCCTCAAACTTTCATTTTTAATCCTAAAATTCTTTGCAATTCGATGTCGATAGACCTTTGATATTTAAAACAATAAATTCTATTAGATCAAATAGGTTTTCGTTTAAGATTTTAATAATAATTGACAATTTTAAAGTTATTAATCAAACAAAGGAATTGAGTCTTTGCAACAAATTCAGTTTTTGTAAAACCTAAATCTTTCCAACCTTATGATGTAAACCTCTGATATGTCAAACTTACATTACTTGATCTAACAGAATTCATAGTTTGAAATATTAAAGGTCTACGACATTAGGTTACAACGATATTGAGATTAGAAAATCAGAGTTTGTGGCAAAAACTCAAATCCTTTTCAATATTAGTAACTTACCAATTGATAAATCAAAGATTTTTGGAACCATAATAATTTTTATTTTATTTTGGTAATTATTTTTACGTCTTAGATTAGATAGTTATTTTTAGATTTTAGATTTTCGTAATTGTTGATGTTATTTTATGCCATGGAGCCACCGCAGTTTCACGTAAAAAAGCTTGTTCTGTCTGTTTCAATATCTACACCGGTAAAAAATCTTTTCAGAATTTCAATTTCAATAATGAAATTTTACTCAAACCTTCTGAAATTAATTGTTTCTGAACAGTGGCAACAAACCCAACTTTACTATTCTCTGTACCTTTGCAACCTGATGATCTTTAATATTTTTAACTTTGACTTTCTGATCTGGCAGAATTCAAAGGTTGAAATATCAAAGATCTACAAATCAGGTTTCATGGTTTTAGTTGCATAAATATGCTTTCCATTGTCGCGATAATCAATTTCTTTGACTAAGTAAAGCCTGCCTTTCTATGTCATAATTTCCATTTTTATATGTTTAAATCTTACTTTTCACAGTTTTATATTAAAGAATTATGTATATATATTAAATGATTAGTTATTTTAATTTTGTTTAGTAATTATTAGTCTTACTTTTGGATCTATTAATTGAACAGAGTTATAAATATTAAAAAACATATATTTCCAGAAAGATATAAGTTACATTATTTGGCTTCATTTGTGTGACATTCAATTCTTTAATTTTCAAGTTTTTGTTTCTCGTAGATGTGCGTAGATATTTTTCTGAAGTTGATTTGAATTAAAGAATTAAGAGTGCTCAGCGTCTTTCTTTTCAGAGGCTTAAATAAATTAGTTTTAATGGATTAAACTTTTATCAAACATTTAATTAAACTTCATGTTCGTAAGATAGTTCCTATGGGGATTGCTATAAGGACTTAATTGTCAAACCAATTGTAAATAGAAAACTAAAACTAAAATAAAAAACTGGTTTGTGCTTAGCTTGTCTTAACATGAAGGTGTGGGGGGGGGGGGGAGTATCTGTGCACTTAAAATACAGTAATAGAGATCAAAATATAAGAGATGAAACTTCTAATACTTCGGAAACATCTCTAACTCCGCGAAACAACATGCATCTCTACATTTAAAGAAGCAAATGCCCAATAAACAACGGTATCCGAATAAACTTTATTTGAGTAACAATAAGGAAGATATCGTTGTTTTATCAGGAAAAGAGCTCAGTTCGGTCAATTTATTTCATTTTCTCTGCTGAAGACGACTTTTGTCTGTGCTATCTCTTAGAGAATTATTAAGTATCAACTTTCAGATTAAAAAATGTGGATATATCCATTATTTTTTCTCATTCATAGAATTAGAGGGTTTTGTTGTAAATCAGGAATATTACTTTCAGAGTGAATGATTATTTGAAATTACGTCGAGAGTTCCTTTAATTCAATCTGAGATGGAATTTAAAGAATTTGAGCCGCGGTTTAAACCGCCGCTCAAATTCTTTAAATTCGGCCACTGATCAAATAAGGAAATATTCATTAAAATTAACCGAATCTGTCGGAAAAAGAAAAATATAAAATCAAAATGATCAAAATTGTTGAAATATTAATTTTTAATCTACAACTTTTTTTGTTTTTTATAGGTTAACTCAAAATATAAAATGTTTTTGTGTGTAAATATAAAATGTCACACCAAATAATTTTTTCTATACAATTACGAATTTGACTAAAATCAAGTTTCACAGTTCTTTGGATAATCAGAGTAAATATTGGAATTGGCTTTTTTATTGATATTTGGCCGTACAGTGTTTTATTTAAATGATTAGTTAAAAGGACATATATAGTTTCAGAAGACGAATTGAGAAAATTCAATAAACCTGCAGTTGTACGAAGGATATAAGTTTAATAATAAAACTGATCAAATGAAAGATTATGATGAGAGTACTAATGAATAGTTAATGAAAAGACTGTGAATAAATAGTCTAAGTAAAATATCTGTAGAGATATGGTTGGTGCAGACTGCTTCACTGCTCAGTTCTCCAGTCATAGTAGTTTCAATCTTTCGAGCTAAAATATAAAAGACATATATATTCAAATTAGCATAATGTTTCTAAATAAATTACTGATGTCTCAATATATTCAAATTAGCATAATGTTTCTAAATAAATTACTGATGTCCCAATAAATGAGGAAATATTAAGAAAGTACTTTAAAATTGTCCTTGAGCAATTCATTTTGGGATTACATAAAACATGTTTGAAAAATCATAAAACTAATGAAATGATTTTTTCGCTTATTTGAGAATTCATAACACAAAATTCTTAATTTTTGGAATCAAATTTAAAGATGGCCCAAAAGAGAGCCCGAATCATTGATATAAAACAAAACAATCACAATGTCCCCCCCCCCCCTCCCAAATAAAATTGTTTTCTTGCAAATTTGACAGATTTTATAAAGGTTTACCATGTTTAAATCATAAATTCATACATATTTTAAAAGATTTCAATATTTCATCTCAACAATTAATGTTTACTATTTTAATCTACAAAAACAACATAAAGACCGAGTTATTGATTTTTCTAAACCTCATTTTTTTCAAATAAAATGTTACGACCAAGAAATATATAAAAGAGGATCCTTCGATGCAACAGATTACAAATCTATTTAAAATTTTAAAAAACATTTAATATTTATATACAGTTGTAATATTTCTATTTGAACTCTTAATTTTTAGTGAATCTCATTCAATAAGTTGGATGTCTGATTCACAACGATACCATTAAAAGCGTTATCCGATCAATAGTGAAAGTGATATTCCATATCAATGTATTTTCTCTTTGAAAAAAATTATTTATTTCAATGGTGGGTTCACTATCGAAAGTGACTTATGATTTATGCGATAGAAACAATATCATAATTTAACACTTTTAAAGTAAGAATAACACTGAGATTACGACTGTTCCTCTAAGGTTAAATTGACAAACTTAACATCCCTAAAATTCTATCATATCTAAAATTCTATCATATCTAAAATTCTATCATATCTATTACTACTATCATCAGTGATAAAGTGATTGAAGTAGAACTTTCCTCCTGAAAAGTTTACCCCTTGACTTACCGACAAACTCTGTATTTGTTTTCTCTAATATTAGATTTGACTGTTGGCTCCAACCATACTCGTTGTAAGCCTCAACCTTTATCTAAATATTTACAAATATAAACTATTTTAAGAAATCCGCAAAACATTTGGGATTAATAGTTAAAGTCAAATTGCATCGAGTATAAACAACTCACTGTGTTTAATAATATAATGTAAAAAAAAGAATGTAAATTTATTACTTTTTGAAATGATTCATTCTTCTTAAATTTTCTGATTTATCCCCCAAATCGTAATTTAGACCCATTGACGCGGTCTAATTTGATGTGGGACACCCTGTACTAATCAACATACTCACCTAATTTGGCTTTAATTTCAACAATCTTTTCTCCAAACTCTACAACCGAGTTACTTTCATTATGGCTGCAATATTTGTAAAGAATAGTGTAAAATTAAAAATGTTGGGTTTTAATGACCTTTCCTTTCCTAATTTAACGTCTTTTGATGATGGAATTTATGCAATTTATGATAAAAAGAAACAACTTTTGAATGTTTTATCGTTTTTTACATGATCAACAAATTTAAAAAATAATATCTTTTATATATTTATACATATTTTTTATCCGTCGAATTAACAAAGTTATCAAATTTTGCTCGTATTAGATCACAGTAATCAAACATTCATTTGTTATGTAGCTCTCTTATTTCTATCACCTTTCTTATTTTCGTTTACTATGTAATTGTGTATTTCGTACATTTTCCTGAGCAATTAAAAATAAAGTCTCCACTTTTAAAAATTAACTACCTTTTCAAATCTGGCGTCTTTTAACTTTTCATTTTTTAAATGATTTAAATGAAGAAAAAGTAGAAAGATCTTACAGAATGCTCCAAGAAATATTGAAATCTCTCTTTAATCTTTGCAGCGTATTTTTAGCGAACTCTTAAATTAATTAAAGTATGAGTTTTGACTACAGCGGGTGCTTAATTTTAATAACAAAATGACATCTATGATTTGAGACCCACATTACTTTAAGTGTATAATAAAAAGAAGATCCAAGTTTACGCACCAGAACCCGCGCCGGAAAAATATTTTCTATATTCATTGGAAATTTACTTTTCTTCATTGAATACATCAAGAGCTTAATATCCTCACAAATCATGTTTACTGCCAAACTCAAAATTCACTTTCAACCTCAATTTAATAGATCTTATCTTTTTAATACTGAACTACGAGAGAAATTGATTGATATTTCAAACTTAGATTGTTTGATCTGACATAATTTATAGTTTTAAGTATCTAAAAGTCTAAGACAGAGAGTTTCAAAGACAAAGGGATTAAAAAATAAGAGTTTGTGGCAAACTAAATAAGAACTTTGCTTCAGTTGAAAAAGGTAGAAATGATTTTAAAAAGATTTTTAAGAAAAAAATGTTTAACTCTACTTTAATAAAAAACTGAAAATTCTTTTTATCAAAAGGGATTATAAATTAAGTTTTCTCTCAACAGAAAACAAATAAGGTTTTTGCAGTATTTTGTTTCCAAAAACCTAACCAAATGGTTTGCATGATGGATTACTAGGTCCAAACTCAAATATATGTCTTACCCTGTTCCAAACTCATAGTTCATGTTATCCAAACTCTAAGAAAAGGTTTACTACCTCAACTTTATGGTTTACCTTGTCTAAACTCAACAATGTGGTTTACCTGGTCAAAAAAAAACTATATATAATATACCTTGTCCCAATTAAACTAAATAGGTTACATGGCCCAAACTATCATCAGGCTTACTTGATAATAAACCCAGAACACTAGGTTGTGAATCGTATGGTTTACCTGGTCTAAAATCAACTGTATAGTATACCTGGTCCAAACTTAACTATATAGTATACCTGGTCCAAACTTAACTATATAGTATATCTGGTCCAAACTCAACTATACAGTATACCTGGTCAGAACTCAACTATATGGTTTACCTGGTCCAAACTAAACTATATAGTATACCTGGTCAGAACTGAAATACATGGTTTACCTGGGCCAAACTCAACTATATGGTTTACCTGGTCCAAACTCAACTATATTGTTTACCTGGTAAAAACTCAACTATATTGTTTACCTGATCTAAACATAACTATATAGTATACCTGGTCCAAACTCAACTTTATGGTGTACGTGATCCAACTAAACTATATTGTTTACCTGGTCCATACTCAACTATATAGTATACCTGGTCCAAACTTAATTATATAGTGAACCTAGTCCAAACTCAACTATATTGTTTACCTGGTCCAAACTCAACTATATTGTTTACCTGGTCCATACTCAACTATATAGTATACCTGGTCCAAACTTAATTATATAGTGAACCTAGTCCAAACTCAACTATATTGTTTACCTGGTCCAAACTCAACTATATTGTTTACCTGGTCCAAACTTAATTATATAGTATACCTGGTCCAAACTTAACTTTATGGTGTACCTGATCCAACTAAACTATAGTGTTTACCTGGTCCAAACTTAATTATATAGTATAACTAATCCAAACTCAACTGTATAGTTTACCTGGGACAAACTCAACCACATAGTTTACCTGGCCCAAACTCAACAATATATTTTACATGGTCCAAACTGAACGATATATTTAACCTGGCCCAAACCTGATAACCAGGCTTACCTGATAATAAACCCCGAACTCTAGGTTGTGAATTGTATAAGACTGGTTTCTGTAAAGTTCCATATCGCACTCGTTCTCTAACCCATACTCTAGAGAAATAGATAATTACAGAAATATTTATACATTTGGATATATATTTGCTGGAAAACACATGCTTACATAGAAAGCGCCAATATTTTTATACACAATTATACAGGGTGTCCCAAAAAACATGGGAATTCAGTGATGAATTCGATATCGTCTTTGTTATGAATTAGCATTGTAATACCTAATTTCAAAAGCCATAATATTATTATGTCTGCTAGAGTTTATTTAATGAAAAGGGTAAAAGACTGCAAAGATGTGTGTATAATGTCTCCGCAAGATGAACAGTGAATACGGACAAGTTTACTCTGTTTGTATACTGTAATTTTCTTGTTTTACTAAGTACAACCGGTTGCAGTCAAAACATAAACAAACAAAATGTGAACATAACAGACGAAACTCTTACAGATTACAGCTTTCTCAGTAGGTATCACAATACTAAATCAAAGAATTATTTGAAAAGACGGTATCAAATTCGTCACTGAATTCCCATGTTTTTTGGGACACCCTGTACTAATCAACATACTCACCTAATTTGGCTTTAATTTCAACAATCTTTTCTCCAAACTCTACAACCGAGTTACTTTCATTATCCTAAGCAGAAATATAATTTATTATTTGGATACAGGGTGTCCTACGAAATATAATTTATTATTTGGATACAGGGTGTCCTACGAAATATAATTTATTATTTGGGATACAGGGTGTCCTACGAAATATAATTTATTATTTGGATACAGGGTGTCCTACGAAATATAATTTATTATTTGGATACAGGGTGTCCTACGAAACATGGCAGTATACGCAAGACGACTTAAACTTCGTCTTTGATTTTTGATTTGTTGCATTAATTTGTCAACCTAATTTCAGAAGTAAAATTCTGTAGATAACAATCACAAAATACCTCTAGTCCTGCCATTTCTAAAATGTGGTCTGCGTTTTTGTGATTTTAATAATACCTGAGTTTTTGGTTTTATTTAACAAAACTGAAATCTAAAAGAAATTCTAAATATCTCAAAAATGCGGACCACATTTTTGAAATGCCAGGACTAGGGTAATTATGCAGTTATTGTTTCAAGAATCATACATGTTAAAGTCACATGAAAATGTCACATATAAATTCCAAGATCAAAGGCGCGTCTTGCGACTCTTATATTTCGTGGGACACCCTGTATTATTAATCATAAATAAAAAAGTTCTTAAAGAAGCTAAATCTAAAATTCATTCTTCTTTTAAATTGAAAATGGATTCCACAGGTGCTTCTAGTGTATACTGATTAAGGACATAAAGTTTTCTAACATACAGAGCGTCCCATATCATATTAGACTTTCTCGACAATCTTTAACGCAAAAATACACATATAATACTCAAAAAATCTAGCATTTTTTGCAAGAAAAAATTTCCATTAGCCTTATTAAATTTTTTGAAAAATTGAAATGATTCATTCTTCTTAAATTTTCTGATTTATCCCCCAAATCGTAATTTAGATCCATTGACGCGGTCTAATATGATGTGGGACACCCTGTAGATGTATCAATAATCAATACTTAATATAATGAAAGGGAAAGGGAAAGCAAAAAGAAATGAAATTGGTGGAAAAGGAAAAAGAAAAAGAAAGTAAAAGGAAAAGAAGGAGGATATTGAAGTAAAATATGGGAGAAACTATAGGGTAAATAAGAAGACAAAGAAAAACAAAATGCACAATAATAATAAAGTGTGCACTTTACTATCGTACATTCTAGGTTGTACACTTTTTACTATTATTGCTGCCGCTGAACTTTAGATGGTTGATTTTAAAAAGTTGCAGATCGTCTTTAAAGTTGTTTTTGGGTAAGACAGGTGTGTAAGAGAATTTAATATGTTCATACAGAGCGTTCCATATCATACTGAATTATCTAAAAGCGTTAAAACCAAAATTACCACATAAAACTCCAATAAACCTAGTATTTTTTGCATGCATATTTTTAAATTAGCTGTACACAATTTTTTAAATGATACATTCTTTTTATATTTTCTGATCAGTCACGAAAATCACAATTTTAAGCCATAAACGATACAATATGACGTGGGACACCCTGTATGAAACTTATGTTCCCAGCCTGCAACTAAATTATGTTCCTGCAATGCCGTTAAATCTAAAGTAACTGGAATAGGAAAGGTTTGCATCTCTGTAAAATGGTGTTCTCCACTTATTTTAAGTGTATAAATTCATATCTGTTAGATTCACATTCTCATCGTTTTTAGGAAGGTGGCGGGGGGGTCATCCCAATATTTCTACATGATCTACCTCTTTGACAAGATTAGAAAAATTATTTTTTTTCTGTAATTTTTGTCTTACAATATGACCAGACTTTCGTTGTAAATTATATAGAACTTTAAAACGAAAAGAATATGCAATTTAATCGTATTTTGATAATTTAGCTTACTAAACAATATTTGCTGTCTGTACCTTGACCTGGCGGTAGGTTAGCCTGTGCTTTAATATTTTTGAGTATGCCCTGTATCTCCAGTGAACCATATATTCAGAGTTTCCCAGATATTCCAGTCTGTTGTACAAATATGGGCTCTCAGGTAAACCTTTAATACAATTTTGAAAAATTTAAATATTTTAAGAGTTTCTAACGTTGTGATAGACCTATCAAAGCAATCTAAATCTTAGTTTTCCTTCTAGTGAGTGTTCTCGATTCACTTTCTCTGTAGTTGTCCGCAAATCCAACTTATCAGAAACAGAAGAGCCTAAGCCCCACTTCCGATTCTAATGGTCTACCTTAGCTAAATGGGGGTTTAATGGCGTAGTAAAATTTTGATGTAGAATCAACTATCATTTTGTTGTAAAAATACTCTTACAAATGAGGGATCATTTTGATATTTTACGAGGACAAATTAATAATTTCCTTTTTTGCAATACAGGCCTAACAACCCCTCCAATATGTAAAATACAGGAGGGTTCTACCGGGACGACACCATGATTTTTGTTTTTATTTTGTTGTTCGATTGTTAACATTGGCAGCGGGCACCTTAAATTTTAGGTAATTTATAAAAACACTTAATTTTTGTGCAGAGTGATTATAACCGCTTATAAAGTTACTCACTCTGGTTAGTCCGGGGTGAAGCGCTCGTTTTTTTCGGAACGATGGGATCTTTCTTGATCATTCCGTTATTTTTTGGCAAAGAACGATCGTTCCACCAGGAACGCACCCAGCCCTACTCGAAGGCATAATTGAAAATTTAAAAAAAATAACTTTGTCGATTTTGTTGAAAATTCATGAAAAAAAACATATTTCTGAAATTCTTTGGAGTGTCACGACCAAATAGGGCATAGCAGAAAAGATATAAAGCATGGAAAAGATGCTCTGAGACATGGATAATGCAGTGCAAAAAATGGAATGGCAATAACTTGAAAAACGAAATGGAAAATGAGATTTTAGGAAATTATTTTTATTTTGCAAAAAATGATTTTTTTTACTGAAAACAGCCAGAAATGACAATTTAATTGAAGTTTGATCTAATGGGACCCACTTTCAAATATTTCTCAATTACTAAGAATGGAACGGAATGATGGAAACGTTCTTTGACTAAGAACGGAACAAGAGGGATGGAACTGTTCGTTAAATAAGAACGTCAAGAATGGAACGGAACGGGAAGACCGTTCTTCTACTGAGAACGGAACGGAATGAGAACGGAACTATAAAAAAACGATTTAGCTGAAGGCCCTCGTTCTAGAACGGAACGGAACCATTTCAAAAACGTCGAAACGTGCCCAGCCCTAGCACTGACCCAGGTGAGGGAGAAATGAGGCGGGGTATAAATGTAACTTTTGTCTGGGCAACAGTAGCCCTGCATACGTAGATTTTAAAAAAGGAATAGCACTTGTTTCTTCTTGGATTTAAAGAAGTATATGTTCCAAATCCAAAGTATTTGCGCAAGAAGGTCAATATGTTATATATATATGTAATGTATATGTATATTAATTATTTTGTTTTCTTTGCTGGAATAAAATTGATAAAAAAGAAGTGTAGAACTGTGTCAACATTACAGCTAACAATGTTTCTGAGATCTCACAGCTTTGATTGTACAATGGAGGACTAATGCTAATATTCTTCTGTCCCTAGATTCTTCAACAATTTGTTTCATACAAACCTTGGATGGTGTAATCTTATTTTTTAAATGGCACACATACCTTTTTTTACATTTTTTTCAAAAATAACACACCAGACTTTCCATTTTTTATTTACTATTGAATTAGCAAAAGTTTAAGAATTTTTTTAAGTTAGAGTGCGGTTTTGCTAATGATTTTTTGAGAATAAATCATTTTTTATTCATTGCTTTGATTTCTTTTAATATGAATACTTTTGTTATGTTCTATAGTTGCATGTATGGCAAATATCCAAGCGTTGTTGTGTTCTTTAAATCCCGAAAATAGTGAGGGATTTAAAGGCTTGAATTTTAACCTCAAAAAATAAATAATAAAAAAATTGATTATGTTTTTTTTTGTTTTTTTTTTGGGGGGGGGGTTATATTTTTTGGTAGTTATATTGTTTTTTTTATATTTTTGGTCCTTCTATTATTAGTGTTCTATTTTTCCCGCACATCACTTTAGATATATTTACATTCACTTTCCAAATAATGGTTGATTTTGTTCACACTTTAAAACTGGACGACTGAAAAAATCCCCCCAAAAATACAAAAAATCGTGTTACGATTTTACAGTTATGCTTTTTTTCTGCCTTTTTGTATTTAGATAAGGTCTAATACTACCTGAAATTTGTATCCTTTTTGTAGCTGTTGACACACTATTAGAAGCAGTACAGTTTATATACCTTCAACAACAAAACAATGCGGAACGGTAAAAAATTGATAATGTTGAAACTTCAACTTAAAATTTGTTTAATTTATATATTTTCTTTGTTTGTTTTGCCTCATGTGTTTGCCCTGTAAACTGAGAGCTGTTAGTTGAAGTTCATGTCGACTTCCTGAAAATCAAGTTTTCTTTACTTTTTGGAAAAGGAATTGAGTCTTTGCCACAAACTACAGTGAACCCCTTAATAACGAATACATCGGAAGAATTTATCAAATGTCGTCTTGACAATTTTTCAATGAGTTTTATACTATATTACGTAAATTTCAGTAATTGCGAAAATAAATAAATAGCCATGAATATGCGGGAACAGTTTTAAAGAGTTCAATATAATCATTTAATTAAACAACTAAATATCTGCAACATTCCGTTATCAGAAAGTGAAGAATACGACATTTGATGAATTCTTTCGATGTATTCGTTATTAAGGGTTTCACTGTATGATTTTCTAATTTGTATATTTCTGCAACCCCATGTCGTAACCTTAGATATTTCAAACTATGAATTCTGATAGATAAAGTAATCTAAGTTTAAAATATCACAAGTTTGTCCCTCCCTAGAAATGTTGAAAGTAGCTGTTAAAACTTGTTTCCTCACTGTATATACTTTTTTACTTTGTTACTCTTTATCTTCCAATAGATGTGTATGTACTTTTAAATTTTATTCTATAAGGGGGTGAGGTTTTTAGGAAGTTAAATTAAATTGATATTTTGTCATGTACTTATTTTAGATGGGTTTTAAATGCTGTTTTAAGCTTCTTTGTTGACAGTTTTTGGTAGTCTTATATCTTTTAGGCTAGATAGATACATTAGTGCTCTGGTTTTAGTCTAAATCTGGTTTAATAGAATATCCCAGAACCAAATTATTATTTAACTATCAGAAAGAAAATCGCAATTTTTTATTATCATTTTCTAAAGTCTTTTTCTGTCCCGTTATCTCCGTGTACTGCATTGCATGGGTCTTTTAAACTAATTTTAAATTTTAAGTACGCATGCAGCAATTATAATTTTAATTTAGAATAAATACAACGACCAAATTCTTTAAGAAACCTGTGGATTTGCTGATTATGTTTCCCGATGGAACTATGAGAAGTGTGTCTTGGAACCATTTGAGGTGAGGAGCAGGATATCCTGGATATTCAATATCATTTCTTTTCAAACAAACCGTTCATAAATAATTCAAAATATGCAGAAAAAGAAAAAAATAGAGTTACAGAGAACTTGACGTTATTTCACATAATTTATTTTGTGTAACTTTCTAAATTAAGAATAAGCAAATTTTACAAAAGTGTCAAGATATTAAAACCCTCAAAAAACCTAAAAGATAATTATTTAGAAATGTCGATCTCAGAAAAACAAGGTGTACAACCAGGACCTACAGTCAAGGAAAGTGTAGAACACTGTCGTCTTCGCTCTTCTACTATAAGATAAGGTGTCCCACGAAACATGACAGTAGCAAGACGACTAAAAAGTCGTCTTTGAACTCTGAATTTATTTGTGACATTCAGTCGTCAACCTGTTATCAGTCTTTCACATGGCTAAATCTTATAACAAAAACCACAAAAGTCTCCTAGTCCAGTCATTTTTAAAAAGTGATCTCTTTTAGTGCTGTCAATATTGCCGGAAATATTAAGAAATTCGTCCAGATTTAAATTTTATTAAACTAGGCTTTTGAAGCGCTTCGCGCCCCTCTGTGAGCATCTTCTCTTTGTTCGGTATAAAACAAAAACAAAAAGAGTTTGCGGATTTCAAATATATTTTTTCGCACATTTTTAAAATTTCACAAAAATAAAAAACTTTTGAACACAAATTTTTGAAATTTTGATCATTCATAAACCTTCTCTGGGGTCACTTGAGATCCTACACAACACCCAGACTAACAGGCAAAATAAATAAAGACTAGGCTTTTAGGGCGCTTCGCGCCTATCTTCTATTTCAACTTTTAATCCTGGCTTTATCTCTGAGCATTTCTCTTTTTACAGTATAAAAAAATAAAAAAAAATACGGATATCATAATATTTTTTCGCGCATTTCCAAATTTTTACAAAAATAAAAACTTTTAAACACAAATTTTAAAATTTTGATAATTCATAAACCTTCCCTGGGGTCACGTGAGTTCCCCCACACAATTTGGGCCCGATCGGTTCAGCCGTTTTGACGTTTACTAAACACAAACAAACAGACACCCAGACAATCTAAATTCATATATAGATTAAACCAAAATTGTTTAAATCTGAACGAAATTCTTTATACCTCTGGTAATATTGAAAGCACAAAATAGACAGACCACATTTTGGAAATACATTGGATATTTTGTGATTATTAACTGTAGAATATACTGTAAAAATTAAAATAAAAGCCTTAATCTCAATTAAAGTAAACTTTTGAATAAAAATTGGTTATGTATCGTCAAAATAAAATGTTATCATGTTGAGATTTTTCGAATTTTTTGTTTTTGCTGGATGTAATAGCCAAATATTTGTCATTAGAGATAAGCATGCTGGACGTGGAGTTGCGGAGACCTGGACTATGGAGACGTAGCTTGAGGCACGGAGATGATTTTGATTGGCTAGCGGTCATTCTGCGAATTAGATGGCAATGGCGATCAGTTCGCGGGGCTTGTTCTGAACGACATTTGCGTGTTACAAAACAAACAAAGTTTGCAGTACATTTACCTGATACAAAACAAACGAGGTGCGCAGTACATCCTTCTTGAGAGTAAACAACCTCTCTATCCACCTGTATCTGGGGTCCATCTGAACATTAAACAATCATCTAAACATGGCATGGACTTATTATTTGAATGATATTCTTACTTCTTTAGAGCTCAGTCGTATCATCTAACCACGGAGGTTTATTGCAAACCGTTTCCTCAACCCTTATATACTAGAGTCTTATTGGTTAACTTTTGCGGTTTTATCTAATGAGAGTCCAAAAAAATTCCGACCGCTACCAATCAGAAACGAGAAATTTAGCAAATTGGAATATTCTTTTGCAATGAGCTCAGATCATTGATAACTCAAAAGTATTGAGGCAGGGGCGTAAATAAGGATTCTGTAGGGGGAGGTAAATGTTTAGAATTTTTTTACCCCCCCTCGAATTTTTTTTACCCCCCTAGAAAAATATCATGATGTATATCAAATTGCTGGTTTTAGTTTGGTTTGATTTGCATTTTCCACTCATTTCTGGCATTTACAAACTCCATCAAATAAAGGCTTCATTTCCTACCTTTCACCTTGTTTTATACCCTTCATTATAGTCATTTGTTTTACATTAACTGCAAAGATCTATAAAAAACTGAATTTATTTTAAGTTACATAAAAAATAATAGTTTTACTCTAAGAGGAAAAAGATGTAACTTTTTTAATTCTTTAGAAAAGCTACTCTGCAAAACTTTGAAAATTTTTTTGTATTTGTTTATATTCTAATTTCTAATTTCTAAAATTTTCTTGTCGTCAATGCACTAGGTATATATGTTAATTTCACTATATTAAATTTTTTTTCTTTTTATTCTTAATAATCTTGATCTTTTCAAATTTTATCCCCCACAGGAAGAGCTATATACTTAATTTGACATATAGTGCAAGTACGCTACTGCATTAAAAACCTTGTTTTAAGTTGATTGAGTAAGATTATTTGCGCGAAGTGCCAAACAAATTTTTACATTTATTCTTTTAATGGTAATCATGGACATGGAGAATGGAGATCAAGTTACTAAACGGGGATGTTTGTGTCCCCAAGAATCTAGGGGTTGGTAATTACCCCCAAGATTCTAGGGGGGGGATTGGTAATTACTCCAAGGATTCTAGGGGGGGTAATTACCCCAAGGATTCTAGGTGGGTAAGTAACCCCAATAACCGCCCTTATTTACGCCACTGTTGTTTGTTTGTCCGTCATAACTCAGGAACACCTTGACCGATTTGCCTCAAATTTTGATTGGGTAACTCGGGAGAACCACGGTAATGTTCATAGCTATTTGAGATAATAAGTTGAGTGGGCCCCTTTTTAAAGGGAAATTAGTTAATATCGTAATTTACGACAAAGGACGGGTAAATGGTGGGACCAAAAGAACTATGTGTTCCAAAGCTAGTGCAAAAAAAGTAGATTTTAAAAAATCGTGATTTTGTTACTTTACACCTGACCTTAGTGCCCGCTTAAAGGTAATCCACAACTGAATTAGAATATTTGGCTGAATAATATTTTGGTCTTTCCCTCTGCGTAGGCGGAACATGTAAATAACGGGTTTATTAGATATTATGTATAATGTATATTACTTTTAGTTTTATTTTAGATAAAAATTTACAAATCTGCGTATGAAATGAGATCCATTAAATATGAAATATGTTTTTATGTTGTTTTAAAGCAATTACCAGTAGCTTGAAAATGTGTTAACTGCACAATTTCTTGTGTTTCATTTTAATTGGATTATTTTAAATCAAAACCTAAGTCTTCTTTCTATTCCTATTTTTGGGTTTTAAGAATTATTATAACTAATAAAAGAGCACTTACAGAATACTCTAAGCTCAGTCCGGCTGGAGATAGGTTGACCCACTCCATTACTAGCTGTACAGGTATAGTTTCCAGAGTAGCTGCGTGTCAGATTATTTAGGTAAAGGATAGTACCACAAGGACTAGTTGTATGCGCTAGTCCGTTTATATCTCTAGTCTCCAGGTTCCAGACTACTTTAGGGGGAGGACTACCCTTTACTTTACAATACAGTTTAACACTCTCCCCTGCCATACTTGTAATAGAAGGCTGTGAGAAGTATATAACTGCTGGGGTTTCTATCAGTAAACTGTGCTCAATCCAAACCAAATTCTTTTGATCCTTTGTCTCTAAAACAATAACATTTAAAACTGTTATAGTAGTTAATTTTTACTTTTAAATAAATGAAAATGGACTAAAAATAAAATTTCTGAAAAGTATAATAAAGTTATTTCAAGATAATTACAAGAACGAGACAAAATAAAATTTTAAAAAATTTAAAAAAATTCTTTTGAGACTTAAAAAGTGTTGTTGAAATATTAATTCAATTTTTCAATTGTTTAATTTGTAATTAAACACAAAGTCGTTCCATGTTCTTTCATCTTTGGATATTTAAAAAAATTAAATTTAGATAAATTCTAGCATCTTTAATTATTTTATAAAATAAATTAATTTCAAATAAATATAATATAATATATAAAGTTTAAGTTTATTGTGATTATTTTCTTACCAATTTGGCAGGTATAAGATCCTGCATCCTTAGCTTGTATATATGAGATAATAAGACAGGTTCCATCTTAAACAGTTTATATTTAATATTTACATGGAACAAGAAAGTACAATTATTTTTTTGTTGGTTCTTGTAAAATTATTTGATTTAGAATTTAATACTTTTCTTATTCTATTTCCTTCCATTCTAAACTTGTGTTCAATATCATTATTTTGTTTCAATTTTATTTAAGTCTGTGCTCTGTTATGATTAATGATTATTTTCCCCGATAAACAATTTATCTTTTCCCATCGGTTCTATTTGTCTTCAATATTCTGTGTAATTCTTATTGTTCATGTGAAATAGTGTTTTTTTACTTAAATCAAAATATATAATGACTCAAGCCAGGAATAACAATTTCCCATCACAAGAATTAGCAATGGGAAACTCTGGGAACCTCACGGAGGAAATGCAGCCATGGTGAAACCTCCTGAAGGTTATGAAACCAAGGAAAAAGGAGGAAATAGAATCAAAAAGAACCTTCTAAGGAAATAGAACACATCGTTTCTAAAATCTCTTTTAGTTATAAGTTTTAAAAACTTAAACAGACTTTCCCCATGTAATGGGCTTTATAAGATTTAGTGCATTCTGTTCCAGTAATGGGGGAAAAGTTGAAAAGAAAAGAAAAATTGTATTATTTGCCAATTCTTTTTCACAAAAATTGGACCAATTGTTTTTCTTCTAAATATATTTAATTTTTACATTTAACTTTATTTGAATTTGAAGTCCCAGTCATAGATTCAAAATTTGATTGCGGTATTTCAAAATTTTTTTACTAAAACTTAAAAGAGGAAAAGTTTAATTCAAACCTTTGAGTTGAGAGTAATGACATTTTCTAAATATTTAAAAAAATTTTAATCTTGTTAATTGAATTTATAGAAAAGAGAAACCAGATATAATTTCATTTCTATAAGTTTAGTCATATTCAAATGTTGCAGTGGTCCCTACATTTTTTCGTAATTATGAACAGAATATTAAGAACATCTCACATATATCAGTTGCTTTCTGATCGTACCTTCAAAAAGACAAAAAACGTTCGTAATCTAGAAATTCTTTTGGTTTATTTGATATTACTGACAAACAAAGTATAATATCATAAATGTAGACCTACACACCTAAAGAGAATCGTCTGTCTCTTCTAACTCTTAAACCTCCAGCAAAGATAACTCTGTCCCCGTGTTTCCAGACTAGAACACTGTCCCCCAGCGCAGTCACATTACAGGGCAGACGAACCTTTAATATATAAAACAATTTATGACTTTTCAATTCTCATATTAGCAATCAATTCTCAGATAACTGCAGACTTATTTCAACTCTCTATTCTCATATTAGCAATCAATTCTCAGATAACTGCAGACTTATTTTAACTCTCTATTCTCATATTAGCAAACAATTCTCAGATAACTGCAGACTTATTTTAACTCTCTATTCTCATATTAGCAATCAATTCTCAGATAACTGCAAACTTATTTTAACTCTCTATTCTCATATTAGCAATCAATTCTCAGATAACTGCAAACTTATTTTAACTCTCTATTTTAACTCTCTATTTTCAAAGAAAGTTCAAAAATATGGTTATTTTCGTAAATCTTCCGAATCTTTTAAAATAGTTTTCCAATATGTAATCTTTTTTTAGATTTTTTATTTAAAATAACGCTGACAACATTTTTCTCTCTAAAGGCGACCAAAAAACGATTATTTTCTAACTTATCTTTGTACAACAATTTAGGGAGTCTTTTGGGCTTTCTTGAAGTTGTTTTTGGTTAATGCTCAACTATACTGCGAAATAGAACATCTGTTTGCACTATAAGATACTTTATTTAAACTTTAAACCAAGGTTGGACATGTTTTATTCAATCATTTAGATTAAATCTATAGCAATTGTCGTATCAAAAGAATTCCATATTTTAAATAAAAATCGATAAACCTCCTCGGTATTCAGATACGCCGTGATCACATATCTGAATCCCTCCATTGCACACTTTGACAGAATTGCCAAAAGGGAGAAAAATATGAAGGAGGGTTAATATGGTCATAAAATATACAGTAATTCATCCTGGTGTTTTGTAATTCTGCTGGACGCTTATAATACCACTGGTGGAATTTAAATATGCTTCATGCGGTTTATAATTCCGCTGGAGGGATTCAGGTATCCTTCCAGAGGTTTATAATTCCACTGGAGGGAATTCAGATATCATTCCAGAGGTTTACAACTCCACTGGAGAGATTCATATATCCATCCTGAGGGATTAAAATTCCACTAGAGGGATTCATATATCAATCCATCCTATCCATCCTATCCATCCTCTCCTTCCTATCCATCCCATCCATCCCATCCATCCCATCCATCCCATCCATTCCATCCATGCATTCATCCGTCCACCCTCACTGGAGTGATATCCATCTCGGGGGTTTATATTTCTAGTTGAATTAAAAATCCCAGAATGGATATCTGAATCCCTCCAGTAGAATTATATACTTCCAGGGTGGATTTATAAAGTATATCCAAAATGTTTCTAAATTATTAAGAAAACTTTGAATTAAACTTTGTTAAAAAATTTAAAAATTGAAATTTTTTATCCTGTAGACCTACTGGAGTGTATACTACTTAAGTGCAAGCGTAAACTCGTCTAACTTATAACTTTGAATGGAGCATATCCTACCTAAGTTTACCCTATAGACTGAGTTGTATCCTGTAGACTGGAGTGTATCCTGTATAGACTGGAGTGTATCCTGTATAGACTGGAGTGTATCCTGTATAGACTGGAGTGTATCCTGTAGACTGGAGTGTATCCTGTATAGACTGAGTTGTATCCTGTAGACTGGAGTGTATCCTGTATAGACTGGAGTGTATCCTGCATAGACTACTGGAGTGTATCCTGTATAGACTGGAGAGTGTATCCTGTAGACTGGAGTGTATCCTGTATAGACTGAGGTGTATCCTGTAGACTGGAGTGTATCCTGTATAGACTGGTGTTTATCATGTATACACTTGAGTGTATCCTGTATAGACAGGAGTGTATCATGTATGGACTGGAGTGTATAATGTATAGACTGGAGTGTATCCTGTATAGAATGGAGTGTATCATGTATGGACTGGAGTGTAACCTGAATAGACTGGAATGTATTCTGTAGTGACTGGAGTGTCCTATATAGACTGGAGAGCATCTTTGCTGTAGAATGGAGTATTTCCTGTAGGCTTGAGTGTATCCTGTATAGACTGGAATGTATTCTGTATTGACTGGAGTGTCCTATATAGACTGGAGAGTATCCTTGCTGTAGAATGGAGTATTTCCTGTAGGCTTGAGTTTATCCTGTATAGACTCGAATGTATTCTGTATTGACTGGAGTGTCCCATATAGACTGGAGAGTATCCTTGCTGTAGTATGGAGTATTTCCTGTGTGCTTGAGTGTATCCTGTAGGCTTGATTGTATCCTGTAGACTGAAGTATATCCTGTAGACTGAAGTATATCCTGTAGACTGGAGTATATCCTGTAGACTGGAATATATCCTGTAGACTGGAGTATATCCTGTAGACTGAAGTGTATTTATTCTCACGGACAAATAGGGACAAATCCGGCCATACCGATACTGTCCCTACTTTCCAATCGGAGATTTGGTCAATTCTAAACTTAATCTATTTCTATTTATTACCAATCTATTCTTTTAATAATCAATCTATTCTTTTAATAATCAATCTATTCTTTTAATAATCAATCTATTATAGCTATAATCAATCTCTAGTTAATATAATATATGTGTGTACGGCATGCAAAATCAATCCACACTCTTTTATACGGATTTTTTTTCTTATTAAAATTACACTTTTTCAGATAGATTTGTAGATTTGTATTTTCTATTTCAAATGAGAACAGTTTCGTTTTGCATTCATTATAAAACAAAAACAAAAAATGTACGGATTTCATGAACAATTATTCATGGATTTTCAAAATTTTAAAAGTCAAAATTTGGTAGAAGCACATTTTTGAAAATTTGGTCATCCCTAAACCTTCCCTGGAATCGAATCACGCGAGGTCTCACAAAAAATTAGGCCCGATCGGTTCAGCCGTTCTGACTTTTATTGGATACAAACAGACTGGCAAAATATACATACAAAGCAGAAAACTTGGGAGGAAAGATTCAAAACTTGGGAGGAAAGATTCAAAACTTAAGAGAAAGGATTCAAAACTTGAAGAGAAGGATTCAAAACTTGAAAAGAAGGATTCAAAACTTGAAAAGGAATGATTTAAGTATTGGAAGGGAGGATTCAAACAATGGGAGAAATGATTCCAAGTTTAGGAGGAAGATTGTAAACATTGGAAAGAAGGCTATAACCTTGGGAGGTAGGATTGAATCCTTGGGAGGAAGGATTTACACCGTGTGACAGTAGAAAAATATGCAAAAGTTTGGAGGAAGGGATTTTAACATCGGGAGAAGGGATATACGCCGTGGGAGAAAGAATACATAACTTTGGAGGAAGGTATCAAAACTTTTGACCAATACTTGGGAGAAAAAAGAGAGAGAAAGAAATATACAATTTATATGTTAGCTCTCTCTGGTAGAAACATTAAGTTTCAAACAATCAAATGATTTTTGCTGCAAACTCAAATTTAACATTCCTACACCTGAAAACTTGCAAAACTTTGATTTTTCAAGGTCAGGCTGTTTGATCCAATATAGGATAATTATGAAATATAAATGGATTACAAGATCGAGTTGCAAAGATAAATGGATTATCAAAATATAGTTTGTTGCAAAAAACTCAGCCTCTTTCTCCAGATAACGTTATTAATAAATCCTAAAACCCAACCTTCGCCCAACTCTATCCAACTCTCAAGCCATCCGTCTCCTCAACTCTATCTAAATCTTAAGCCATACTTTTTCTAAACACTTCCTTCAACACAATTTTATCCATCTCTCAAGCCTTCCTTTTCCTAAACCAAACCTTCTCTTCAACTTTATCCATCTCTCAAGTCCTCCTAAACCAAACCTTCTCTTCAACTTTATCCAACTCTCAAGTCCTCCTAAACCAAACCTTCTCTTCATCTTTATCCAACTCTCAAGTCCTCCTAAACCTGACCTTCTCTTCAACTTTATCCATCTCTCAAGTCCTCCTAAAACAAACCTTCTCTTCAACTTTATCCAACTCTCAAGTCCTCCTAAACCAAACCTTCTCTTCAACTTTATCCAACTCTCAAACCCTCCTAAACCAAACCTTCTCTTCATCTTTATCCATCTCTCAAGTCCTCCTAAACCAAACCTTCTCTTCATATCCAACTCTCAAGTCCTCCTAAAACAAACCTTCTCTTCAACTTTATCCATCTCTCAAGCCTTCCTTCTCCTAAACCAAACCTTTTCTTCAACTTTATCCAACTCTCAAACCCTCCTAAACCCAACCTTCTCTTCAACTTTATCCAAATCTCAAGCCCTCCTAAACCAAACCTTCTCTTCAACTTTATCCAAATCTCAAGCCCTCCTAAACCAAACCTTTTCTTCAACTTTATCCAAATCTCAAGCCCTCCTAAACCAAACCTTCTCTTCAACTTTATCCAACTCTCAAGTCCTCCTAAACCAAACCTTTTCTTCAACTTTATCCAACTCTCAAACCCTCCTAAACCCAACCTTCTCCTCAGCTCTATCCAACTCTCAATTCTTTCTTCTCCCAAACCCCAACCGTCTCCTTAACTCTTTCAAACATTTAAGCTATCTTAACTCCTAAACCCAACCTTCTCCAACTCTGAAGCCTTCCTTCTCCTAAACGTATCCAACTCTTAGCCCATTATTCTCTTAAACCTTTACAATTCATAACACATTCTTCTCCCAAACCTTTAAAGATGAGCGAAATTAAAGAGATGAGATAGATAAGAGAGAATTGCAAGGCCAAAGAAAAATACGGTGACACGGAAACGCCTAAACAAGGAAATGCCTCATCACGGAAACTGGTGTAAAATTAGCGGTAACCGAGCAAATTATTTATTTTTTTTGATGCATTTCCGCGATTTCTTCGAATTTTACGTAAATCCCTCAAAAGTCAGATTTTGAGGAGTTTCCTGTTTTTTTAGATCGATTTAACGAAATTCTTGATCCATTTTCGCTTTTTTCAAAAACTATAAAAATCTCCATTTGTTGATCGGTTTCCTCGTATTTTAGATAAGTTTCCGTTTTTTCAAAAACTGAAAAATCTCGGTTTCCTTAAATTTAAAACCGTTTCCTCATATTTTTTATTCGTTTCCGCTTTTCAAAAACTTAAAAATTGATTCGTTTCCTCAAATTTTAGGTCCGTTTCCTTTTTTATCAAAAACTTTAAAGTTGATTTGTTTCCTAAAATTTTAGGTCTATTTCTCATATTTTAGATTAGTTTCCTCCACAATCCTTCCAAAACACAATTTGTTGATCGGTTTCCTCAAAGTTTAGGTTCGTTTTCGCTTTTTACTGAAACTTTAAAAGTCTCACTTTTCTATTTGGTTTCCTAAAAGTTTAGGTCCGTTTTCACATATTTTAGATTAGTTTCCGCTTTTAAAAAAAAACTTTAAAAATCTAAAGTTTAACAACTCTACTATCCAATATTACAATCTTATATTACATTACAATTATATTTTCTCTTTTTCCTAAATCAAACAATTGTATTCGGTCCAAAAAAAATTTTAATAAAGATACTTTTCCCATTCATAAACACTTTTTTATTTCTTTTTCCTTTCTCTTTCTTCGTTCTTTACTTATTGTCATCTAGTATATATTCCAATTTTAACATTTCAACCTTTTTTCTCCTTTTCTAAATTCCACCACCCTAACTCTCCTCTTCACAACGAATATTAAATAATGAATGTAGGCTGGTGTAGAATAACAAAAGTCTTTATACCCTAGGCTCAGCAAACTGAGAAATGATTTTAAAGTTCTGGTTTTTCTTAAAAACATTATTCTTTTCTATTATTACCTTAGTTTTTTTCTTCTAATTAAATTCTTTTGTTTAGGTATTTTAAATATTTTTAGATATTTAATCCAGCTTTTGATGGTAAATTTTTAGAGTATGTACAAATATCTATTTATAGCTGAAACAAAATGTTGTAAAACATTTAACTTAAGTTTTATATTTGAAGTGAATATGATAAATTTTGTCCTCATTGGTGTGAGTTTAAATTTTGTTCGAAAAAAGTTAGCCCTTCTTAGTTTAAATCAGATTTAAAAATCATCAAATGAAATATAATTTAACCCAGTGAAATCCTCGCAGTTTCTAATCATTTTCTATTAATTTATTATAACTCTCTTAAAAAACACTGCGGCATCCCTGCATTCTTTAGATTTGGAATCAGGTTACAAAAATATAGAGTTCAGAAAAACTGAATTTGTGGCACGTGCTCAAATCCATAGAAGTGGTACGGATAAGTTTAGCCCTCCTTGATGTAACGTGAGTTTAAATTTAAACATAACTTAAGCTTGTTCCCTGATAGTTATCTAAAGTTAGTTCTTGAATAAACAGTCTGCTTTTCTTTCATAAATTAAGGATCTTTTGTAAAAACAAAGTTTTGTTTCTCAATTTTCCTTTTTTCAAGGCAAATATTGTTTCCTTTCCCCGAAAAAATAACGCTATTAGATGTCATACATAAATTAATTCTGAAAAAATTCAACCTTTTTTATTTGAGGATTACATTAAGATCATTTTAAATACTAATTGATTATTTGATTGAAATTCAGGGTTGTAATATCTGAATGATTTGTTTGAAACTAAATTGATTTTTTACGGTCTAAGTCGTATGTTGCAATTTTCTGAATTTGTATATGGCTCTAGGTTATTCGGTATGAGACGTCTTTAACAATTTTCTCCTTATAGACGCAACAGATAGAAGTAAGATTAGTAGCGATCAAAAGCGCTGGGTGCTTGAAAACCAGGATATGCCGGGGGGCGGGGTCAAATTGCCCCCCCCCCTCTAAATCCCATGTTTGATGTCCAAATATGACAAATGATACATCATTGGAAAGCTCTTGTGCTCTGCTTTTAGAATCTGCAAAACAATTTGCAAATTTGCAAAAATTGAATTTTTTATCGCAAAATCCAGTTATATAGTAAAAATGTTTGCAAAAAAAAAATTGTCCAAAAAATGCAAAATTATACATTTTTGAAAAGCCCTTGACCATGCCATTTCAAATATGCAAAAAATTTTGCAACCTTCTAAATAACCTGATTTTCAATCAAGAAAAACTAAAAATGTGAAAGGTTGTTTGCAAAAAATTTGCAATTTTTTTTTCGCAAAACTTGTGCAATTTGTTTCCTTATGTCAAAGACTTTCCAAAAAGCTAAATTTTATCAAAATCTGGCAAGTGGAAGTGGGTCAAAACAGAGATTTAGTTTGTTACAGGCAAAAACAGTCATTCAGGCAGTGTGCCTGAGGACTCAGGCAGTTAGTATTAAAGCCCGGTTTTAGGCCTAAAGGGAGGGCTTTGGGTATGTAGGAAAAGTCAGAAAATTTCAACAGCCTCAGACCAATACTTTTTGAGTTATGTAAACAAAAACTACAGGGGGGGTCAAATTGACCCCCCCCCCCCAGCAGGAATTGGGTTAAGCCTATACCCCCTTTCATTTTTCGCGAACAGTCCCTTTAAATCAGGGTGATAGAATGCCGTTACCTTCAAATTTATGGACTTTACAAAAGTTTTTTTAAATAAAACAAAATAAATATTTCTATATGTTTTTTAGCTTCCATACATCGACTGCAAAGGTTTTTGAACTATACTACCACCACCTGCCGAAGTTGCACAGACAAACCAAACGTTCTATCCAGTTTTTAATTTAATTTTCTTTCTCCCCATCTCTTTAAAATTTTCTCAGTCTGAAGTGTTTGTATCCTTTCCTATATAAAACTAATATTGTCTTAGGTTCAATTTTACACTTGATGATTCTTCAAATATAAAATATTATCGCCTTCTAGAATAGATCGGTGTGGAGAATAGATTTGGAACAGGATTTACGAAAAGCTTATTCCATAACTATACTTATAATGTTTCTTTTCGATTTTTCCTACAAATTCTTCTTTAAATAATATTTCTGAACTTGAATTTAACTTTTCAACACCTAATCAAAACTTACTTGTCAAAGTCATACACTTATTTTGTGCTTTTACATTTAAGAAACTCAGTTATTTGGAATATGCAAAAGCAGCACGATGTCCCAAATTTTAGAAGAAGTAATTTACCTTAGCCTATCGTTCATATTTTGTTTTGTGAGACGTAACAATTCAAATTATCTTTATTTATTCATACCTGTTCATCTAATCCTGCTCTAAACCTTCCTCCGGAAGAAAGTAACCGAGGACTCTCCACTTCAACTAAAACAATACGTTTGTTTTCATGCACTTTATTTCCAACGTCCAATAAGCGAACTTCTTCAGAAAAGTATCTGATTTAAAGAGGTAGTTTGGTCTGCTTTTGCAATAAAATATCTCTGTATAAGTAAGTTACTTGCTTCAGAGTACACTGTACAGTGAGTAAATATACCCTAAACTTACTTTTAAAAAGACAATTCATTCCATTAGCAGACTAAACGTCCTTTTGAATTATAGATCATAAATACATATATGTTAATTTATTTATCTAACATCCATTAACCCATCACACTGGAATGGGATTTTTGTCGTAAATAAAAGAAAATGAAAGATGAGTATAGACCTTAACCTTAATCTAATCAATAATATGGAAGAACACGTCTAGTTTCTAGCTTAAAAAACAATCAATTCTGATAATTTCTCCATTATTTCTGAAAAGAAATATGCGCAAGACACTTCGTAGAGACACCACAAATGAAAATAATCAGTTTTCATAAAGGAAACAATGGAAAACCGATTCATACTTGATCAGACAAAGGTTAGTGTTGCCACTCTATCAATGGAGGTCACTTAAATTACATGTGCAGTCCCTTTAAACAAATATTGTTCAAGTTTAACAATTTTAAAGTTTTATTGATTAAGCAGTTAGTTTTAAACAATACTAAAAATTTTAGATTAAAGGAATTGACTCTTTGCAACAAACTCTGATTTTCTAATCCCTATATCTTTGGATTCCAACGTCGTAAACCTTTGAAATTTCAAACTATGACTTAGTTAGATCAAAAAATATAAGTTCGAAATATCAAAGGTTTACGACATTGGGTTCCAAAGATATTGGGATTAGAAAATCAGAGTTTGTGGCAAAGAGTCAGTTCCTTTACAAATTATTTTGAACGACAAAATATTCAGGTCTGTTTCAATACAAAGTGACAGCGTTACAAATTTTTTAGAGTCTAATTTTAATTTTTCCAAAGAGATAGATTTTTATAGGTCTAAAGTTGGTTAAAGTATCTTTATGTGTAAAAATCTAAATTTGATTTATTTGAAATTATTTCTTTTTGTCTTCATTCTTTGTAAAAGCAGAGCAATTGGATTTTTTCATTAATTTTTTATTTTAGAATTTGGCAAATCTCCCAAAATGCTACATTTTAAAAACTAAAATACAAATTACGGATAAATTATTTTTTTGGGGGGGAAACATCTGGTATTAATTCGATTCTACAGATAACAGGTACATTACTTTATAAAGTAGATTCTACAGATTACAAATAATGTTATTTAAACATCTGGGATATATGTCAGCAAGTATACTCTACAGATTACAGAAAAGGTAATCTATTTGGAATTTCTGTTAGTGATTAGACTTAACAGATAACAGATAACTCAATCTGTCAAGTAGATTCTACAGATTACAGATAAATTAATCTATCTAAAATACCTGGCAGCTATTGTACTATGAACATAACAAATAAGTTTGTATGTCTAGAATATTTTGCACAGAGAAAGTGTTGTCATTGTTTTTATTATTTACATTTTTCATGCAGGTTTTATTTCTTTAGTAAAAAATGTCATATTACGTTATTGTAGATTTAATACAGATTGTAAAATTCTTAAAACTTATTTTTTATAGGAATATCACGAAATTCTCTTCATCAAATATTTCTTAAAATAAAGGAAGAGAAGTTTTAAATTATGATAAAATAAAACTTCAAATACTGAGCTCTCAGAGCAGAGAATGTCACAAGTTTTTTTTGCACAATTAAAAGTTGCAGCTGCAACACTTCTGGTTTTCGCGAAAATTTCGTCTCTTTCGCATTTATCGCTTAATTCATTTTTGCTAAAAAACGAAATTTTGCGAAAAAGTTTATGAAATACGAACAAAAATCCCTCACTTAAAGTTTTTCCGTTAGGGTCTGCCCTCTTCAGGATTTCGAAGAAGAATTATATGGAGTTCTACATATGATGGAGATCAATAATTGATCGAGAGATTCTCAACACAAACGGTTTTACTTCTGGAAGACTTACTTTTCTTACTTTAACCCTCTCTCGTTAACTCTTTTGTCATAAAGCTTGCAGTTTTTTACTTTAAAACTTGGCATAGAACAGCTTATAACTATTTTTATTTTAACTGGATGAATCCAACATAGAAATATATATGTATATATATATATATATTGCTTCCCCACAATGTAATTTTAGATTGTTAAAAAACGTCGTTAATAATTTTATTCAATATTTTAATATTGTAAAAATATCAAGAACATTTTTTTTTTTTTTTTAAGGAAAATTACTGTCAAAGGGACTGAAAAAGCCATTTCAAGAAATCCCTTTTCCGGCCATGGTCCATGGAAGTAAGTAAATTTAATTCTTTAATGTGTTAATCTTAGACAAAAACACAAAAATAATTGCATCAAGTCTGAGAGGAAGTGTTGATGTAACTTCAAGTAACCCTTCATTTGAAAATAATGGCATTTCCAAATCACAACGGTACCCAAGAAACTTTTGTCTGAGCATCAATAGAAATTGTTGCGTGTTTTTTATGGAAATTTTTCTCAATCAAAAACTTTTTAAAGGGCATGCCATTATTTTTCTTTGTTTAAATGGAGGATTAAATGAAATTACGTCGCAGTCCCTTTATTGTTTTTTTTTGGTGGGTTTTCTTCATAACGTAAAATGACTTACTGCACTAGAACGCTTCGTGTTTAAAAAAATTAAAAAATAGTCCATGACTTTTTTACTAAATGGGCTATCGATCTAAAATTTTTTTTTTCAAAAACCCTTAAAAATGGATAAAATGTCATATGTTAATATTTTTTAAAAGAAAAATTAAATATTTTTCAACATTTTCCAGACGTTCTTTTTAAACTAGGACATTTCATTCTAAATGGAATGCAGCTTGAAATTACGTCTACAATCCCTTTAGCAATTTTTTCCGGGCTATTCTGTTCAGTTTTAACCATCAAAATTTTCAAAAAAATAAGGTTTTAGGTCACAGTTAAAAAATACAACTTTTTTATTTCTTTTCCATAATTTAAAATAAATGTTTCTGTGCATTATATTTTGAAATTTCAAAAAAAAAGACTTTGTCTGATTTTGCAAAAAAAAGTTTGCTTTATATTAAGAGTCACGAAAATTGAAAAATTGGTGTTTGCCGAACTCAATACATCCTGTAAAAAAAAATTTAATTCAACAACTCAGATTCGCAATTTATGATCTGGAAATCAGCACAAAGGCCCCGAACAAAATTTCAAAAAATTTAGTTTCATGTCTCATTTTTTGGAAATTTGATACTGGATTCAGTTTTAAAACTTGTTTTTTAATTAGCTGGCCTTGTAAAGTTGGACTACAAACAAGTATCACACTCCCCTTACTCAACTCTTAGACACAAAAAAAAACAATAGGATAAGGGTTAAAATTGATCAAAATTGTTTAATAATTGTTTTAAATAAACATCAAGTATTGCTCTTAGAAGACTTTTCCAGAAATTTAATATTTGCTCAAACCTTCAATACTCTTCAATCTTCGTCAGCCTATGTTGGTCTTAAATGGATTTAAATATTTCAATCTACATTTTTTAAATACAAAACTCATTTTTTACATTTATCACAGGGTTTTCATCCATTCCTTACTGCCGGGGATCCAGGGGGGGTCAAGGGGAAGATGACCCCCCCCCTTTTGAAAAAAAGGGGTTCAGAGTATCTTTTGACCCCCCCCCCCTTTTCTGGAGACTAACCTAAAAGTTTACTGTAATTTGTTATCCAGCAGATGCTTTAACAAAAAGCATGAACAATGAGAGATTTAATGATTTGGCCCTATAATGAACATTCATAGAGACATCTTAGAAACCGTAAAACTCGCAAAAGTGTTTAAAGCTTTTATAGACAAAAATCCCCGTAAAATTGAATTTAATTTTTTAACAAAAAATAATTATAAAAATGCATAACAAAGTTGACAGGCTTTCTTTATTCTGGAAGATTAGATCTTATATCTTTACACAACTTTGCAAACTTTACTTTTATTCCTCATGTTTAGTAGTTTACATATATAAATAGTTTTTTTTTTAAATTTTAATAGGGATGGGCAATATCCAGATTCATTTTACAGGAACTTTTAATGTTTTTAGACTTTTAAAAGGTATTACGACAATATGAGAAGGTTCCAATATTTTAAAACTTTATTNGTTCGTTTTTGCCTTATGTTTTCACCTAGGATAACAAATTTGCATGTTTGATAATAGTAAACTTCTACAGAAGACAATTTCAAATCGTTGAACCCGTAAATCTTTTAAAAATCCAAAAGTGTTAAAAGTTTCTGTAAAACGAATCTAGCAATTGCCCATCGCTATATCTAAACCTACAGGGTTAACCACAAAGAATAGGAGTTAAGAACAGATTAAACTCTGCAATCTTGAAAATCGCATCCCTTGAGGTAACCTGTAACTTAATTAGTCACATGAAAAAACACCCTGAACCTTTTGCAGTTAATATCTTAATCTTAAACAATATGTAAACTTGTAGTTTGAAATTATGTAATGCCAATGGAAATGGAAATATATTTGTTTTATAGAGTAATATGTCTAAGGTAGAAATACTTGTACATACTATAAGAGTAATTTTCTGTTTTGAGCACTTAAAATACTCACTTTTAATGCTTATTTCTTGACGCCCCCCCTCCTCACTCACTACGTTTCGCTCGATACTGTACCCAATATTATTCAGACTTTGACCCCCCCTTTTTAAAAGATTAATCCGCCCCTGATTCCTTTTTCTCATTTATTAAATGTTTCCCATTTAAGTTCTTCAGTTAAATTTATTTTTTTCTATTTAAAGAATAAAATTTGTATTTCCCTGCCCCCAACAATTTTGATTGTAATTTCCGGCCATTTCTTTGTCCCTGGCTCTAATGTTACTTCTAATGATGCTTATTATTCAACCGACCGCTGTATAACACAACATGAATTTTTAGAAAATACTTGCTTATTCTTATCGGTCTTTCATTTTCACTAAAAGGTGGAACGAGAATTAAATATTTGTGGCTCGTATAGAAAATGATATTAGCCTTAAAAAATTGTTTAAACAAATCTTCTAAGAATTCTAAAACTACACAAAAAGTATGGTGGTTGTATAACCTGCAACAGCTGCACTGACTATGAGAAGGATATAAATCATGTGGCTCGAAATATATAATCAGTCACAGAACACTAAACATTTTATCTGAAATAGTCAACAAGGTTACAAATACAATAACATAAAAAAGCAATAATAAAAATCCAATTAATCGGCAATCACAGTGATCCTTAGGTTGCAGACTTTCACGCAAAAATCAATGAGAATTTTTCCAATAACTTCTCAGAAACTGAATTTGAATTCAAGTACTTTGAAGATAACTTGTAGGTTAGAGAGGTAAAATTTAAGGCCAAGACTTTAAGACACATATAAGCCATTAGATTACTATGTCTAGGGAAGAATACATAATTTATCCTTGGGATCGTCATATTTTAAGAGTTTCCAGTCGTCTTTACAATCTCATCCTTTGTGGGTAACCGGCCCTCTGGAAGTGAATGAGAACCTCCTGAAATCCAAAAACCCGAAAAGACAAACTCTAGAAAGTGAAAACTTCTGAAAAGACAAACTCTAGAAAGTAAAAACTTCTGAAAAGACAAACTCTAGAAAGTGAAAACTTCTGCAAAGACAAACTCTAGAAAGTAAACACTTCTGAAAAGACAAACTCTAGAAAGTGAAAACTTCTGAAAAGACAAACTCTAGAAAGTGAAAACTTCTGAAAAGACAAACTCTAGAAAGTGAAAACTTTTGGAAAGGCAAACTCTAGAAATTGAAAACTCCTGAAAAGACAAACTCTAGAAAGTAAAAACTTCTGAAAAGACAAACTCTAGAAAGTGAAAAGTTTTGAAAAGACAAACTCTAGAAAGTAAAAACTTTTGAAAAGGCAAACTCTAGAAATTGAAAACTCCTGAAAAGACAAACTCTAGAAAGTAAAAACTTCTGAAAAGACAAACTCTAGAAAGTGAAAACTTCTGAAAAGACAAACTCTAGAAAGTGAAAACTTCTGAAAAGACAAACTCCTGAAAAGACGAACTCTTGGAAGTAACTCCTGAAAAGACGAACTTTATGAAATGTGAGCAATAATGAGGAAGACAACGAATTGAATTTTAAAAATGTCCTTTATTCTTACATCTCCAAGTCACTTATAAACAATTTTCAGCTAGAAAGTTAGGATGTCTTATTCATCTTTGATTAGAAATTTTTTGGAACAGTTTAAATTTGGCATACCACTCTATGTAGATTGTATATGCATTTTATAAACATTATTTATTTTTAAACCATGCTTTTCCAAAAGAATGCATTTTGCAAAGAATAATGGTTATATACCATGAAAGCTTGGAACATTTTTGCACTGAGATTATAATATTATTACTTTGTAAAAGGTCTTGGGGTAAAATGGAGATAATTCTGTTTTGAAATTCTATGCAGTTTAACAGCAATTACACTTACCAAAACATAATAACATAATTTCGGAGTGGGGGGGAAAAGGAATTTTTCTTGGCAAAAATATGGTTAAAATTACCAAGATTTTCTATCTTTTTGTATGACTAAAATAAAAAATAGTTCGTCTAATTTTTTGTTTTCCTTGTCCAACAAAATTTTCTTAAATAAAGATAGGAAATTTTCTCCACACAATTTCATAATCCAGAGATGTGAACTTTATATTTGATTTTTTCTACTTGAGATTTTTTTGTTTTTATTTTATTTTGCACACTGTTGTTTAGTTTCAGAGAGAATTGTTCCCTCTAGGAGAGACAGGGGTAGAACATAATCAATTTAATTGGTGCAATTGTGGAAACTGAAACCTTTAAGAGGTTTAGAGCAACACAGAAAATTTATAATTAAACAGAACACATGCACAGGATACGGATCTTTTCGATCCATTCCTGTTAAGAAAAAGAACCTTTGTAAAATTGAGAATATAAAAATGACAATTAAATATCTAAAGCGTAATGAGAAGATATCGTATTAAATAAATTTGAAAGGAATTTTTATTTTTCGTACAGAAATGTTCAGAACAAAGAAATGGCGAGAAAAAGATCAACCAAGTACAGACAGTTTTACTACTTCTCATAATTCAACTGTTTTTACTATTTCAACTACTTCTCTTAGTTTAGCTACTTCTCCTAGTTCAACTGCTTCTCCTAGTTCAACTGCTTCTCTTAACTCAACTACTTCATCTATTTCAACTGTTTCTCCTAGTACAACTACTTTTCTTATTTCAACTACTTTTCCTTTTTTAACTACTTCTCCTCAATAGTTCAACTACTTCTCTTTTAACTACTTCACCCAGTTAAACTACTTCCCCCTTTATAGTGCAATTATTCTCCTAATTCAAATGCTTCTCCTAGTTCAACTACTTCTCTAAGTTCAACTAATTATTTTAGTTCAACTACCTCTCCTAGTTCAACTAATTCTTCTATTTATACTACTTTTCATAATTCAACTAATTCTTCTAATTCAACTACTTCTCCTGGTTCAACTACTTCTTATAGTTATATAACTTTTCCTATTTCAACTACTTATCACAGTTCAACTACTTCTCCTAGTCTAACAACTGTTCCTAGTTCAACTACATCTCATAGTTAAATCACTTATCCTAGTTAAACTACTTCTTCTAGTTCAACTATTTTTCGATTTAATCAAATCCAACTTTTAGATGGTTTAAATGAAACTTTTTTTAAAATACCACAGGTTTGTGTGGAGTACGGGAATCGAACCCGTGAACACCAGCCTGGACACCAATCCAGTTACTGGCTGTGGACAAGTGTGCTTAACTTCAATGATCTCACGAGAACTGGTGTCACACACTCTCCACCCCACCCCTCTAAAAATAAAACTGATAATAAAAATCTTACCTTACATATCTAGCAAACAACGTTGCAAAGTTTTAAAGGACGCAATAAAACAAATTACAAATAAGTTTGCTGTAAACTCCTTTAAATTGAATGTAAGATATATCCATTCCAAATTTTTGGTTTAATAAAGTTTTTAAATAACTTTAATTAAACGTGTGTGTATTCGCTTTAGGTCAACTAAAATTAAGTCAATCCCTACAGAATTGTAAATCTTATTTGCTTCAGACTCTTTTGTATACTGCAATTAATAGCTTGTTTTAAATTTTCCTATTTCAAATATGGAGGCTTTTATTTTAATTGTGAACATTTTCTCTTTGCATATCATTGTAAAACAAAAACAAACAAGAAGTAACAAAGGTTTCAATTTTGACATTTTATTTTCTTAAAAATTTGGATGATTTCCGTAAATCAATGCAGAATACATACTGGCTGTCCCAAAAAGTAAAACAATTAGAAGACAACTCTAGCAAGGGGATTCTAGGATTAAGCCATGAGGGGGGAATAACATTTTTTCACTCCTCCCCCCCCCCTCATTGTTACTCAGATATCGAACTAGGTTGATGAACCAGTAAAGAAAAAATTTCGGATTTGAAAATATCAAAATATTTTTTTTAAAAATCCAATCACATAGCAAAAAATGCAAAACTTCCCTGCAAGATTTATGCAATATGCTTCGTTTTGTCAAAGATAATTTAGAAAGATATTTTGTCTGCAGTTTTGCAATAAAGTTTCTTTTTCTTTAAGCTATTTTTCTATATGAATGAGTTAACATCTTGCGATGTATACTAAATTACTTATAAGCTCACACAGAGCAAGCTATAACACGATTCACGAGACAAATACTTTATTGATACGAAAATAGATAGCAAACGATTATTATGTAGATTGTAGGAAAAAGAGTAATTATCGAGAAACTATAATGTGTAATGAGTCATTAATTTCTACCTTTTCTATAAAGGTTTTTTGGTCCAAAAAATGCCCCCCCCCCCACTAGCAAATTCCAAGCTACCTGCGTGCCAAAACAAAAGAACTATCTTTATTTGACTAAAAAAAATTTATTTATAAGTGTTCTACAGGGAAAATGTTTTTGATCCATTCTTAAAATAGAATTTAAGTATCTAATATATACATTCTACAATCCACATATAGAAACTTCCCGTAATTTTCTAGGGTTGTTTCCCCCCTTTCCGCCTGCCCCAAGCTGCCTCAGAGCCGTTTTACTTTCTAGCAAGACTTAAACCTTAGCGAACATAAATTGAATTGGTTAAATGTTTTCCTTCCATTTCACAGTTTTATGAGTCCCACTGTATACAAGTTATGAAATTGAAATTAAAGAGTTAATAAGTATTTACCTTCCTCATCCTCAATTTTAATATTTTGGTATCTTGCATGAGTATTTCAAAAATATTGGCTTTTACGGTTTGATTACCTCAAATTAAAAAAGATATGATTTTTACTAAATAAAAACATTAGATTGATTATTAGTGAAATGAACTCGGGAATGCATGAAGGCTATTAGAGAATTGATTTAGAGAAAATCAAATAATTTTCAAGAAAACTTTCTTATAAAATGGTGTTCCAGGGCCCAAAAGGTTATATAGCACAAATATGTGAAGTACACCTGCAGTATGGAAACAGTAACACAAAATGGCCGTTTTACATTTTTTTCGAGTAAATTCCACTCTATTCATAATATATTCTCTTTGTTTATATATTTCATTGTACTAATAAACCCTTGTTATAGTAATAAGCTTGTGCAGGAATAATGGAATATATTTGAAACTTAAACTATTTGTAAGAATTCACGATTTTGAAATCTAAAGAATAAAAGAATACTTTTTATACATACAGGAGTAGAAAGTATATAAATAGATGTGAGGTGTGAGAATAAACATTATAACCTCGATACTTGTGCAGGCTTCAGTCTTAAAAAAACATCAACTTTGACGGATAGAGATTAAACTATTCCCCAAACCTTCTTCCTAATCTTACTGACCCTTTCTTCCTAATTTTTCACAATCCTTGATCCTAATTTTTCACATTTTTTCTTTTTAATATTTCCAATCCTTTCTTCCGGATGTTTCAGAGTCCTTGTTCATCATCGTTTCTATGCTTTTCCATTTCTTCTACGTAATTTTTCATACTCCTACCACTTTCGAGCCTCTTCAAATTCTTTTCCTATTTTTTTTTCTGCACTGTTTTGCAATCCTTCATAAATGTTAATAATGATAATTTCCTTATTCTTAATTTTAACAATCATTCTTGGGTGTGGTAACAGTTCGCCCAATCACGTT